ACAACAGCCCTAACTGTATAATTGATGAATTATACAGAAAATCGGATAAGTCTTCATGTCCATTATCCAAAACCAAAATCAACAGTAGTGTTTGGAAACAACTCTATACTCCAAACAGCTGGCTTTTCATATCCCCTACACAGTTTCGAGTTGCGTTTACCTGTAATGGAAAACGACAGGATGTATTCCTAAACAAGACTGGAATAGTCACAATTTCCCCAAATTGCATAATTACATCTAAATCAACAATCCTGACGCCGCGGAGATCAGAAGGTGTGTCGGTAATAGCAGGATATACTCGGCCCGTGGATGTCAATTTGACCATTTCCAGGTCAAATATGAAAACAATCGAATTAGATGACAAAATAATGAAGCCAAGTGAAGAGGATATAAATGAGCTGAGAAGCCAACAAAACGACATACAGGAAACCATCGAGGATTTTCAGTGGAAGAAGGTGGTTCATCACTCAATTCTTATTAGCACCACAACGTGTGTCATACTTGTTGGCTCCGTATTCACAACCTTCTGGTGCATCTGGAGGTTCAGACGACGCAATAAACACAAAAAGGTGGACCAACCAATGGAACTATCCAGTACCAGGCCCATTCAAGGAGCAGTCTCCATCGACGTACTGAGTCCATTGAGAGCTGACGACTAGGGAAACTACAATTGAATCCCAGGGACAATCTGCTTGTGGAGTCGCCAATATGTTTAATTAAAAATTAAACAGAAAAAAAAAATATTAATAAAATTTGAGTTTTTAAAAATATTACTACCAAAAATGCAGGAATGTGCAAGGTTGCGTATAGCAGCAGGTGATTAAACGAGAACACCTTACGCAGCAGTGCACCAATTACGGCAACCAGCAGTTCCACAACAAAGTTTATGTCTTTTATGTCTATTTTTATTATTGTTATTTAATTTTCTATATTGTTTTTAGTTTAAATGTTTAGAACTACTGTTTGTTTATATTGTAAATTTGTATATAACTCAATACGTTTTTAATAAAAATCAGTTCCAAAACGAATTCCAATTGGTTTTATTTGGTAACTCATCATTGTTAACTAAGAACTGGGAGGTGAGCAAGATCAAGGATCATCCTTGTACTCGCCCAGTAATTGGTAACAAAACACCATGTAAAAAATACCTGAAATCAGGGGAGCCAGTAAGGATTTTCGCGGGGGGGCCCGAAATTTGTCGCTACGCCACTGTTCCACTTTAGATTTATGATACTCAATATCACTATTAAAATATTTATCTGTGAAATAAATTAAATTGATTTCTTTAGACAAGTCGTTAAAACTTTGGTTTACATCTGCTACGTTAGAGTTAGTAATTATATTTTGTTTTTAATATATTTTAAATACTCTTTATGGGTGATTTTATATCGCGTCTACGCTGGAGAAACTATCTGCTTTTGTGTTTTGTTTCCTGGCTTATATGCAACCTTGTATTCGAATTTTTATCTGTGAAATAAATTAAATTTATTTCTTTAGACAAGTCGTTAAAACTTTGGTTTACATCTGCTAAGTTAGAGTTAGTAATTATTTTGTTTTTAATATATTTTAAATACTCTTTATGGGTGATTTTATATCGCGTCTACGTTGGAGAAACTATCTGCTTTTGTGTTTTGTTTCCTGGCTTATATGCAACCTCGTATTCGAATTCTTTAAGTTTTAGGCGGAAACGCATTTAACGGGAATATGGTTAAAATAAGAAAAGATGTACGTTAAAGGTCGATGGTCGGTCAAGTTTTTAAACATTGTTTCATATAAGTATAGTCTGAAATGCTCAACTGACCAAACTATACTAAGGAGTTTGCCCTTAGTAGACTAGTTCTTTTCAGCGGATTTAAAGTTTGACAAGCATTGGCGATGGGAAAATCTGACCCTATTTCTCTTTGCAAAAAAATGGAACCGATTGCATATTGACTAGCATCAGTTGTCAGAATAAACTCACGTTCAAAGTCCTTTAATTTAGTAAATGATTCATCGCAGATTAAAGGTCAATTAAAGTCGACATTTTTCTTGAAATATTCGATACATTTTCTGTAAATATGGATAAGCAATTTTAGCAAAATGTTCAATACACTTTCTGTAAGGACGCTAACCCTAGACATGATTTGACTTGCTTTTCTTTCTTTGAAACTGAAATTTTACCTGGATCTGGCATTATTCCCTTTTTAGAAATAATATCTCCTAGGTAATTTATTTCCTTGCTTAGAAATTGATATTTGTTTGGTTGTAATTTTAAATTGTTTTCCTCTAATCTCTTATTAACATAACTATTAATTTCATTGTGATCTTTTAAGGAAGCACCGTATACGACTATATCATCTAGATATATATAAAACATTTAATTCCCTGAAGACCCGTTAAAATTAACCGTTGGAAAACAAGGCGAAGCACCTTTTAAACACATAGGTAATCTCTTGTAATGATAGTGTCCGAAAAACGCAGTTCTTTCTTCATCTTATTAGATTTGATAATATCCGTTCGCTAAATCGATTACTGAAAAATATTTTGATTTGCCTAATTGATCAAACATCTCCGTAATGTTTGGAAGTAAAAATGTATCGTAACGTCATTGGCAAAATCTACGACAATGAGCCACCGCTTATTTCTGCCTGAGTGAGCCTTTTTACGGACGTTAAAAATAGGAGAGTTGTATGAAGATCAAATTGGTTTAACAATGTAGCATTTTTTTTTATTTTGAATTTCTTGCTTTTGTTGCTGGGGTAATCGATACGGTTCAACAAAAACTGGCTTTGAAGAATGTGTAAAGGCGTCAGTACATGTTAAAGTGTCTCCTTCTATATAGAATAACTCTTTAAATTCTCGACAAATTCTACTGATTGAGTATTTTTCTTGTTGGTTCTGTGCTCGAAACAAATTTGAAATTCTATTGCTTTTAGCCTGTTGCCATTAGAAGTGCTAAAAAACGGTAACCACATAATAATTATTAAATTCATCAAAATCGACATCGAAAGAGTTAGTAGTAGTACGGTTGGGTAGGCTCGAAGCCTGACAATTAGACTCTATGGTCCTTTTTATCTGCCCCTCCTAAACCAACCAAACTACTCCTCATCCTCCTCTTCGCCCATACCAGCCCTTTCGAATCTTCCAGACCTTCTTATAAAGGTCAGGATATCCTGCCAGGCAAGAGAGGCCAACTTTTCCTTTGGAGTGTCATCACTCCAAAGATTTTATACCTTAGTCTGCCGAGGGCTCACATTCGAAAGAGTTAATTGTTTCTGGATTTTAAGTTAAATTTAAAATGCTGATTTTATAATTTTCCTGTTTGGGTTTCTACAATAAAATTAAGGACATAACTTCCTTATTAAGACATATCTTTGAATTAAGAATTCTGTTTTAACATTGGCAATGATCTTTGATCTAGGAGGAATAAAGATTTTGTAAGGATTATCAAGTGTAAACGAGTAATTTTTACCGTCTAATGGAATAGTTTTGATTTATCAAAATTTAATAATGCCTTATATTTTAGAAGAAAGTCTTTCCCTAAAATACCATCTTTAGCTATTGAGAAATTATCTGGGAAAATATGAAATTCGTGTTTTATACTTGCCGGAAGTACAACTAAAGGCATTATGTGAGAACCGGTATATGTAAACCTGTTAAGAATACACTTTAATACGAAGGGTAAAATTTTTTTTTTATTAAAAACGGATAAGAGTTAACTGCTGAGAAAGTTAATCACAAGTGTAGTCATACGCAACGCGTCGCTAAGGGAAATTTGTTATTGATAAGGATTTTTCCTTATTATTAAGGATTGTGTAAGGGTTGAATGTAACAATGAATGTTTGTCTCGCCGATTTTAGAGTGGTTTACCCCTCGCTTTAATATTAATAATATTTCTGTTGGATTAACTTGTGTTATAGGCCTTATGGGTCAAATCGTAATAAGTTTATTAAAAATTTAGACCATTACTTTTTACAGATTTACAAATTTTTACAGGTGACGTAAATCTGTTTATTTTAAGAGACAACTATTTATATTTATTTAAAAAATATTTTTTTAATAAACAAGAAATGTTTTCATACTTAAATGTTCCCACTAAAACGTGTTTAAATCTTTTAAATTTTATTAATCTCTTGTTAAGTTTCACTTAATTTATCTCACGCTCAACCGCTCACGTTTTTACCCTGGGATAGTGGTTATATTACTTTTTAAGCCTTTTATGTGTCAATAGAAAATTATATCTAAAAATAGGTGCTCCAGTACAATGTCTCCATTAGGGGTGTCAATCCCGAGCCCATTTTCCAATCCCGGGCCTTTCGGGACCAAAGGTAACTAATCCCGGGATCCCGGGATCAGTCCCGAAAAAATATATATCATTAATTTTAAAACCAATTTAAAATAAAACAACAAACAAACTAACGAACGATATCTTTCGGACTTCACACTAGTCGGAAGAATGGTTTTCAAGAATTCGTAGGCACATTGTACCCACGTTTACCCCCATTAACAAATAATTCCATTTCTTTTATCAATCGGGCCTTGGTGAGTTCCCATTGGGGCTGTAACTTACATTGAAATTATCAAGTTTGTGACATTTTTTCAGGTTTGACGTATGAAATATGTTATATTATAGGTTATGTACATAAATTTATTCTACAGTGACCTGTAATTTTACATTTTCTTTGCTGAGTTTATGCTCTTGCTATATAATTTCAATCTATTTTCATTATTGTACGGCGGTGTATAATAATTTGACTTGAAGTGAGTAAAAAAATGAAGTGTTTATATATATGCTTATGAGTATTATAATATGAAAATGTCATACGCTTAAAAAAAAGTATATTTTATTCTTTGTAACTTATTACTAAGATCCCGGGATTGGGACTTTTAATCCCGGGATTTTCGGGATCGGATTTTTACGGGATCCCGGGACCCCGGGATTTCGGGATCCCGGGATTGACACCCCTAGTCTCCATAATATAAATATTTATCATATTTATTTATGTATATTTTCTTTTCAGGTGTCGATTACATGCATCCAGATTTGAAGTACAATTACGTAAGTCAATTTGCTCTTTCGTTAAATAAACGCCTAAACACATTCTTCACGAATTGTTTTAAATTAAAAGCTTAACACATTTTTACCACTGTATTTTATTATTTTTGATTCCACCTCTTATGTGGAAAAAGTTGAATTAAAATTTAAAAAATAACAAAAGCAAGAAACTTTAAGGGACGGCAGTTATAACAAAAAAGGGTTGGTTGAAATGGTTGTTAATTTCAAAATCAGTGGGGGTCAATTATAGGGAATGAGTTGAAAACTTTGCACAATAAATTAAGTCTCGTTGCTTTGCGTGTGGTAAGTTTCGAGTACGTCAGTTAGTAATACATTTAAATAGATAAATAAAGTTTACTTCATTTTATCATTAATGAACCTAATATACAGGGTGTCCCATAATTAGCTTGCAATCCTTTAACAGCAGATTCTTCGTACAAAAATAAGAAAAAAAGTTCCTATAAACATAGGCCGATAAATGCTTTCTAAGGGAACTACAGCCCCTAAAAGAGGAGTTCCTGAAGATGGATTTTATTTAATATAACCAAAACCATTTAAGATAGAAAAGTAAGATTTTGGAAATTAATCAAACTTTTTATGGCCAATAACAATTCAAAATTTCCATGATGGGTGGGTCAGATATATAGGGAATAGGTGTTAAAACCACCCTAACTTTTTTGTACGTGTCTCGTGAAAGTATTTTCGGTTTCTACAATCAAAATCATGAATTATAGCGTTTACAGAATGTTTAGATTGATTCTGGTTTTTTTTAATTTAATTTAAAATTTTAGTAATTCTGGATCCCGAAATATCGTAAAATAATAAATAATTAGTACATAAAAGATAATTATTGGTTTTGTATATTCTTTTATAAAGTAATAACAATCAAATAAAGAAAAAAAAGAATTAAATAAAAAAATAATGAGAATATTAAAACGCAATTTTTTTAAAAAATTGAACCTTTATCTGGATTTAATATGTTGAGGTGCAATTTCTTAGTTCTTTCGCTTCTACCATAATAATAATTATGGTAATTATTATTATTATTATTATATTAATTATTAAAAACATATTCTTTTTAACAAATAGAATGAATCAACATAATCAAATTTTATTTATAATTTTATGTCAAAATTTCCATTGCCATAGACCAACAAAAAACTGCCAACATCGAATCAAACCTTTCCTCTATAACGATTTTCCATTTCCATTATAGTTTGATGCTCTTCTGATTCGGTGGACAGCTGATTTTCGAACAGGTCAGGTGCATGGAGCAAATGTACTGTTAGTGACATGTTTACCCCCATTTTTAATTTTTGTTTAATTTTTTATTATTTAAATTAATAAATAACGGTTTTTCGGGTTCTAAAATTAATAAAACTTAAAATCGATATTAAAAAAAAAACTGAATACTGAACCTTTGAATAGAAGAAACGAAAACTACTTTCAGAACCCCATAATTTTTTTTGCTGTTGCACTGTGTTATTCAACCTTTTATCAAAGTTCACTTTCTATCGCGACTACGTTGCGTGAGCTTACGCCAATTTTCGGTCGACACCGTTGGGTCGTAACTACAGGGGGGCCTAGGGGGGCCAGGCACCCCCCAGCCATCGCTGGGCCCCCCCAGGAAAAGGCTGACTTTTATCTGTTATAATTTTTTGGTATTACCAAATTTGCAATAGAAATATGTATCTATCATTTACATATCTTAGGTGGTATAGAAATTTCATCAGGATCATCAAATTCGAATCATTCAAAACACTGGAAAATAAATATTTACTACCAAATTATGGATAACTTAATATCCAATTTTAGATGCAGATTTTTAAATTTACCATTGGCGCAAGCAGCAATTGCATTATTTCAGTTAGATTTTAATAAAAGCCGAGATTTTATTAAAAATTATTCCTCTATTGCCGGTGTTAATGTGAGTATGCTTGAAACCGAGATATTGGTGGTAAAATATATGCGTACTCTAAAAAATCTGGAAACTAATTTAGAATCAATAAAAACGCATATTAAAAAAGACTTTTGTCCAAACCTCTACCTACAAATTAATTCAAATTGCTATTTCCTTGCCGATAAGTTTCGCTGGTTGTAAGCGCAGCTTCTCTGCCATGCGTCGGATTAAAAATTGGACCAAAACTACAATGACTCAATTCGATTCGCAAATGTTTCCATTATAAACATCGAAACAGATTTAGTTAAAGACATGTTACAGCTGATCGGGTTCTGGAATTATTTTCACAACCAAATAGGAAATTAAAGTTGATTTAATGCTTATTTTATAAAATTCATGCGGTACTTTTTAGTCGTTTTTCCAATACCAACTTAAGGTTTTTATTTTATATATTAATTAGTTTTTTTATTCTTATGTATATTAAAAATTACCTTGTTATTTTATTAAACATATTAGAACTGTTTGATCAAAAAAATTGGTATTTGTGCCTTTTGGAGACAACATTTGTTTTACTTTTTTTAAAATTCCCAGATGGCTAGTTACGCCAATGCCAACGGTCCTCGCAAATTGCCGCCTCGTTCGTGCGATTTAACTCATCATTTAATCATTTCCTTTTAATTGAAAAAACAAAATGCGTCGCCGCTCTTAATGAAAAACCCTTTATATATATATATATATATATATATATATATATATATATATTAGACTGGTTCAAAAAAATCGAATATTTTTTTTTCTTCAAAGCCCGCATTGAAATATCTTCCTAGTAGTAAAAAAAGAAGCCGTTGAAAATTGTAGCTCTTAATATTAATATTTAGAGGTCGCTCATCGTGAATTTCTATTTTACGTTTAAATAACACAGGAATTCTTTTTTCTTAACTTTGAAATTTTAGAACTCGTTTTTGAGTGAACATATTGGAATGAACTCTATATATTTTTGAAGAAAATTGAACGTTCTACAAAAAATGTCATTTATAATTTTTTCGTAAATTCACTCCTTTAATAGTTATTCAAGGTTGAAATTAGACATATAATAAATGTAACGTTTAAATATGAGGAATTTTTTTTAACTTTTAATTTTATAACTTTTTTTTGAGTGGACATATTGGAACGAGCGATAATTTTTTTTAAAGAAACATAATTTATATAAAATTTTCAAAAAAGATTATACAGGGTGAGTTTTTTAAAGTGTTACAAGACAATATCTTGAAAACGGTTCAATATTTTTTTGTGAAATTTGGGTAAAGTAATGAGGACATGGGGGGACATATTTGGACATATTTTTGAAATTTACCCCTCCACCCCATTTTGAGGGGCAAGGGGTAACTTTGGATTTTTCAATGGAATGATGTATTTTTTTTATAAAATTCGAATCTACGTAAAAAACTACGTATGTGTGCCAAAAAAAAATTCATTTGCTCTTTTGGTTACGGAGTTATGATTTATTATGTTAAAATACTAAAAAATAATTTCAATGTTTTTATCAAGTCTGTTAAGCTGCACGTTGTTGTTTATTTCCATGGAAACGCGTTATTTTAATCTAAGTTAGTCGAAAATTTTGACATTTTGACGATTAAAGCTTTTTGAGCAATTAAACATGGAAAATAATTTTAATGTGCAAGTTGATATGTTGTTGATTTTGGGGGAGTGTAGAAAAAACTACAGAGAAGCTGCACTAGTGTGGGCAGAGAGGTTTCCTGATAATAAAAATACATCATTCCATTGAAAAATCCAAAGTTACCCCTTGCCCCTCAAAATGGGGTGGGGGGGTAAATTTCAAAAATATGTCCAAATATGTCCCCCCGTGTCCTCATTACTTTACCAAAATTTCACAAAAAAATATTGAACCGTTTTCAAGATATTGTCTTGTAACACTTTAAAAAACTCACCGCGGTCCAGTTTGTGATACATTAATTTTAAGGTAGACTTTCATTAATTAACATTTCTCAAAAATGTTTCCTAAGGAAAATACAGGTTGTAATTAATTTATTTATCCAAGAATACTTTTGCCGCAGTTTTTTTGGAGTGTGTTCCCAAATATTTCAAAAACGAAGCCCTAAATTAAAATTTTAGCACAGTAGTTTTTTTTTTCTCTAAATTGAACAGACAATCTAAAAATGTAATTTTGCGAGTAAACATTTTTGAGCAAATATTTTAGAAACCAGGCCCCAAATCAAAATTTTACAAGAGCAAATTTTTTCCATTAATTAAAAACTTGACCTAAACATTTATTTATTATTTTAAAATTTCCAGTGGCGTCAAAGACTGAGGTGAAAAAGGGAGCAGCCCCCCAAGTAACTGCGGCACTGATTATCTACATCATTATTAAGGCACTGTTTATATTACATTGTGTGCCAAATTAATTTTGTGGTTTAAAAGTTATGAAGAGAAAACTATTTTTTTTTAAGAAATGTTTTTTTATGAAAGTCTACCTTATTTTTGATGCTTTATTAATGTATTACAAACTGGACCATCCTGTACAATAATGAGTGATAAGGTTTATTATTATGCCACCAATTGAAAAAAAACCTTAAATTTATTATATGCCTAATTTCAACCTTGAATAACTATAAAAGAAGTGAATTTATGAAAAAATTATAAGAGACATTTTTTGTAGAGCGTTCAATTTTCTTTAAAAATATGTGTCGCTTATTCCAATATGTTCACTCAAAAACGAGTTATAAAATTTCAAAGTTAAGAAAAAAGAATTTCTGTGTTATTTAAACGTAAAATAGAAATTCACGATGAGCGACCTCTAAATATTAATATTAAGAGCTACAATTTTCACAGGCTTCTTTTTTCACTACTAGGAAGATATTTCAATGCGGGCATTGAAGAAAAAAAAATATTCGATTTTTTTGAACCAGTCTAATATATATATATATATATATATATATATATATATATATATATAAATACATATGTTATAGGGGATCACCCTGTACATATATATACAGGGTGTCACCAAATAATTTGTCATCCTTTAAGGGGATGATAGTACACGCCAAAACAAGAAAGTTTTTCCTCTATCATTTTTGCATTA